AAAATATTGCTGCTTTTTCATGACATTAATATAATCCATTAAATTACAAGTTGCAACAGTATGTTCCATAAAAAAAATTCTGTTTTCATCTTCTTAAATTTTTGTCATAAGTTCCATATTCTTTGTGATTGTGTTTTATATGTCCTACATTTTTTTATCCTCTGTCATTATTTCCAACTTAACACATTCCTCTGCATTCAAAATAATTCTTCAGTCTCATTTTCTAATCAATTAGTATAATTAACTGATTAATTTTAACAGTGATTCACCTGTTAGTCAAATGTCTTTAATGAGTGGGCTTTTAATTGTTATTTTTACTTATTTTCTACATTTTTGTTTGTTATGAAGTGTTGAATTTGATTTGATCTGATTTCTCAATTTGATTTATAAACTCTTGCTTGTCTCTCCATCCCCCTCATTTTAATTGATCAATATTAGTCTGGTTCTGTCACTATGGATACAAGTATGAGGTGTGAGCTAAGTTCATGGACTGGCTTCACACAGGGAGTGGTGAATCTATCAGGATCAGTAAGAACCAATAATTCCCTTCATAATGCCTAATCTGGAAAACACACTATCAGAACTCTAATCTTCAAGAGAAGCAAGAGATGACTTAGATTAACAAATGATGATCTGCACTTTGCTCAATGCATGAGCACTGCCAATGCTACTGGGGCATTGTGCTACTCCTGTCTGTGTGAGGACATTTATAGAATAGCCAAGATCCTGCAGCTTACCAGTGTTGGGCTCTAGCTCCAACCTTCTTGTGTGGATTGGGATGCAAAGGCTAATGGAAACAAGGAAAAGAGAATTGGAAAGGCTGAATGTATCCCCAAATGTCACTGGTGAGGAGACTGGTTTTTCAGTGTCTTGGAGCCTTCTGAAGTCAGCTAAGGAATGTCCCATTTTCTGTCTGGCCATGACACCCAATTAAGGAAATGATTGTGTGGTGCTCTCTTGTTTCCTGGTACACAGTCAAAATCAAAAGATGTTAAAGGAAAAGGCAGCACATCCTTCCCTTACCTTATTACTATAAACTGAGAGGTGGGTGGGTTTTGGGGGGGGATATAATTCCTTTAAACAAACGTCTTCTTGGAATTGACCACTATTCAGTATACTCAGCATCTACTTCCACCACATATTTCAGAATTTTCACAATTTTTTGAATACTTTATTCTTTTACTATATATATATATATATATATATATATATATTTTTTTTTTTAAAGTCTTCCTTAGTTATCTTAATGGCATTCTGTGGAGAGCATTGGGATAAACATGTGATTCTAGGTCATGCTGAAACTAGAAGAATAATAAACATGTCTAATTAATTGTTTCATGCAGTGCTTGGGGAAAGCAAAGCATCTGGGATAATGAGAATATATTGTCTAGCTTACATTTCTAAACATTGCTTATTTGAGTACCTATAAACACAGCAAAAACTGAGAAATAAGCTTATTATTCTTATTTTTAAAATATCCTTATAGTTTTGTTAAAGTTGCCATTATTCACAATGTTTAACTATGTTTAAAATAACATAAAGTAAGTTTGGGTTGTTAAGAGAACACAAGATAGATGATATCAAAATGAAGCATTCCTGAGAAGGAAAAAAGTTTACAAATGTAGCTTAAGTTTTGAAAGGAATGGAGAACTTGAGGCCTGAATTTACTGTAACCACTAGCAAGTGAATGGTAACTAAAGTAACAGAGACAAACTGATCCAAATTGAAAGAAAAATATTTGCAGCTAGACTAATAAAAAGGAAGGATATTTCTGTGTAACATTTTTCACCATCTTTGTTTGCATTCTAAAAAGGAAAATTTGGAGAAACTCTGGATATCAAGAAGACAATGTCAGTGAAAAATGTACACTGGTATTTCCTAAGATTTGTAGAAACTGTTCTAAATAAAAGTACTAGATAGAATTTCATGAAAAATACCTCTATAACGATATGAAGTCTCTGGTGGCTGGGTGGAAGTTAAGAGGCTCTGAGGAGACTCACAAAAATACAGAAATGCTGAGAATTCTTACTCTTAAATATTAATTAAAATTTTTTACCAATACTCTAGAAGCCTCGGTGAATATTTGTGCCTAGGTCACCAGTAGGAAGAAAATTTTTGAAAATTTTCTTTTACCAATGTTATATGTCTCAGTTAAATATTACTTCCTATATACTATAGGAGAGTAATTCCTAATTTATGGGTATTTAGGCCATATCACATAATTATGTGAAATTTATAAATGTATCTGCATATTAATACTTGCCACAGAGGAATTAGTAGCTTTTTTCACAAATACATGAGCAAAATTTTAAAAGAATATATATATATATATATATATATATATATATTGTTTAAATATATATACATACATATATATATATGTATATATATTTAAAGCAACATATATATATTCTTTTCAATCGCATGTGTGTACACACACACACAATTAATAAAACTTAATGGTTAAATGATAATTTCAAATACCTATATATCATTATTGAATTTTCATATATTTATACCCAAAATACAATAATATCATTTGTTCAGAGGAAGGGATGACTGAATAAATATTTTATCCAAGATGTCCTCAGGCCTAAAACATTTACAAATCACTGTAAACAAATAAAACTACCCTGAGACTTCATAATTTCTCATGTGATTTTAATTGTATTCTCAAATCAGATATCATTTTCCTAGTGATCACATTTGTTGAAGCATCATCTGACAAAGGAAACTTTACTGGAATTGAGCAAATGTAGAAGATGCATAGGGGTTATAAATGTTTGAATGTAAAATTACCCCCTCCAAAGAACTCATGTGTTTGGCAATGTAGCAATATTCAGAGGTGAAAAGATTGAATTAAGAGAACAATAAACTCCCCATTTGACAGACTAGTAATCTGAATGGACTATTGGGTGGTAACTCCAGGTAAGTGGGACGTGGCCAGAGGAAGTAAATCACTGGAACATGGCCTAGCTCTATATATACCTGTGGCCCCTTCCCTTCTCTCTCTCTCTCTCTCTGTTTTCTAGTTGCCTTAAAATGAGTGGCAATCCTCCACCACACCCTTTGGCCATAATATGCTGCATCAACTCAGACCCAGAGGAAGGTGATTGACAGACTATGTACCACATCTCTGAAATCATGAGACCCAAATAAACTTTTTCTCCTCTTAGTTGCTCTTGTCATCAATGCTGATCTCAGTAATGGGGAAAAAAAAATGATGAACACAAAAGGTTAACATTTTCTCGTAGTTTAGCCTCCTTGACCAACTTTTAAGTTAAACCATTTTGATTGTCTTTCAGAAAGTACCCCATACCACACACTACAACAGACATTTCAACTGAGAATTATAAAGCTCGAGTTTTATTTTCCAGAATGTCCTCTAATTCTCTAAACTGCACTTTTTACTCTTTATTCATTTTCCTATATTTGCATTTTCCTTCTACCCTCAAGCTAAGTCATCCTTCGTAATTTCCATTCTGTTTTCAACTTCTTATCTAAATGTCACATAGTTACCAGTGGACCCTGGCCATTTTTGACTTTTTAGTCAAAGATTTTTATGCCTGCCCCAGATTGTGACTTATAGAGCATATTTTGTTGGTTGTTCATGCTACTGGAATGAAAGACATTTCCCTGCCTTTTTAAAGGCATGTGAAGCAGAGGGTCAGTTTCATTTACTAACTTGTTTAATTAAAATGACTAGGAGGAAGACATAGAATGTCCAGAATAAATTTTGTGTCTAACAATAAAAGATTTGCACACTTCTTATATGCACATATATAACTTTCTTAAATATTGCTCAGCCAAGAAAGTAAAAAATGCATTAAATATGACACTCATGCTTAGTACATTTATTGCCATACGTTATGCCAATCACAATAAAATCACAAAATCTGTCACAGCTCTCCTTCCYACTAAAGAAGGAATCCAGCTTACATTCTTTCCAGAGAACTTGCCTAGGTATTTTTATAATTATATCAATATCTAATACAGAGTCAATAAATGAAGAATTAGATCAATAAATAAATCATGGATTAAGTCAGACCATCAAAAAACTGATTTGAACCTCATCTAGTTTGGCTTTGTGAAATGAAGGGTGATTTTTGCTAAATTGCTAGTGGAAAAACCATCAGTTGGCATGTCCTTGTGCTCATCACTGGATTCACCAACTAAGGTACAGAAGATGGATAAAATCAGTATTCAAAATTAAACCTTTGCAGCTAACCAATACAACTTTCTACCCAAGTTACTCAAACAGAATAGAAGCTTTGCCTACTAAATAATAAATGATACAGCCCCACCAGATGCTACTTTTTAAACAATTTGATCTTACATTCATTGCCTGCTAATACTTTGAAATCTATTTTTTTTTTGTATTTACAAAGCTGCACATTTTATTCTACTATCAGTTTTTAAAAATTGCCTTTACTCTTCACAATCATAGTCATCTTTCAATAAGTACAGAACTGAAATCTCACAATCTCGAGCTGAGCTAGGAAATAGCATTTAGTAACTTCCTTCCAATTCCAGCTTTCCTCTGATGAACTGCCTCGTGGAGTATAAAGTTGCATTCCTTGGCAAGCCTTGGCCCCACCCAGCTGATCTCTTGTGTAGAGAAATGTGAATGAGAACTTTCAGTACCAACTTACTAAAAGCATTTCTCTGCAGCATTGCCTATGTCTCCACTTAGCCCATTTTATTTTCACTGCAGCCTCTCTGAAAGGGGATGAGTGCTGCTATCCCTTAAAGGCACAAGACGTCTTGAAGAAAAACAACTCTGAAGTCCATCTATCCTGTTGAGGTTGCTTGTCTAGGAACACAGAAAACTTACAGTCAGCTCTGTGGGCATTATTCTCCTTGGATTTCCTAGTAAAGATAATTACAGGAGAGCCTGGAATTGCTATTGATTAAAGAATAGTGATTCCTCCCCTTTCCTGTGATTTTTAAAACCTCAGTAGTGTGAACTTTGCTTTACATAGTTCCTTGAGAATTTTGCAATGTCAGCCGTAAACTTTGAACTGGATAATCTTTCTCCCAAAGGCTTCAGACATGAGCAGACTTCCAGCTCTGATTTTACTTCAACCTGTTTAACTGAACTCTCTGGTGATTCCAGTGGAATGGATTTTCAACACTCCACTTCTGTCCCCACAGGTAAGCTAACCTTTAGATGCATCTGCTTGAGTATCTTAACTTATGCCTGTACTCTGTTAATGTCACCTGTGTGAAAAATAAATGCTAATGCCATCTACTTTGTGGTGGTACAGTTGATGCCAATTTTAGTTTTTTCGGTTATTTTTTCCAAAAATGTATACAGATACTTTGAAAAATTTCAGAGGGATGAGAGGTTCTCTTTATACAGTGAAATGTCAGAAGGCAAACTCAGTGAACTCAGAAGTATGTTAACTGTGAAATGAACTTTGATTCTCTGGTGGATGTTCAGGCCTACCAAGGCTTAATGTTGTTTGGCATGAGTGGAAAAATCCCGGATCTTATACATGAAAGCAGAGAATAAGTTCTGCCATCTTTCCTCATCTCTTTTATTTTCATTTTATTTTACATAATTATGTAAAGGATAATAAATATACTTTACATTTTCATTACAAGAAAATATTCCTTCTGGCTGTTATTTTGTAACCTCATTTAGATTACGTATAAATAGATGGTGCTGATAAATGTCAGTATGAAAAAATTTTATAGAGATAGGGAATTGCTATTGAATAACATCACAGCTTTCATTCTTGGTCTGAAGTTTTGAGGGAACAATGCTATATTATAAATTGTATTCATCAAAAGAAAACTTCTAAGGCTTGATTTTTTTAATGAACAACTCTGAAATACCAATGAATTAGTTGTGTTTTATAGAAAACATTTATGTAATAAATTATATTTTAAATACTGTAAAATAAAACTGCATTATGGTGATGTACTCATCTTCTCTCACAAAAGAAAGGTGTGTGGTGTAAACCTAAAAACGTAAGCAAACTTTTCATACCTCTGGTTGTTACTTCGTTTGATCTTTGCCTATAGAAAAAATATTTGAAAGAATAATAAATTCAGTTTCACAAGCAGAGGAATCTCTTGAGAATTTCACCCACATTTCTTTATTATGTGTTGTTGGAAATTAAGTTTTAGGTGTCCCATAAGTAATTAATTATTTGTTGTTCATAGATTCTTTGTATTAGAAGACTTATTTTATAACAGAGGCAGTTCTGCCATCAGGATATAAGCCATCCTTTAAAAAAAATTTTCTTTCAACTGTAAGCAATCTCTAAACTGTTGTTTTTTTTCCCTTTAACCAAGGATCTTATTGATTATTAGATCTACAATTTCACAAAAGTAGGGAAATCAATTCTTTACAAATGTAAATAGCTTTATAAAGTAGACTTGGATAGGAAGAAGAGGATTAGGAACAAAGTACTTGACAATCTAATGAAAGTTTAAATATTCATGTTGGTTTCACCATGGTTTCACTCATGTTTCACAGAGTTTTCTGGTGAACTCTGTCAGAGATGGCACTTCCATTTTGTTATTTTTAACCATTCTTTATGACTTAGATGTTCATAGCTTAGGTATTATCTCTATGTCAAGTCTTCCACACTGCAAAGAGGGCACTTCCATTCCATTATGCTGGCAATTCCCCAACTCAACTCTTCTCAGCAAAACTCTCTAAAGATACCGCCTTCTTGTTTGTCTCAATGAACCCCTTAAATTATCTTGAATATTCTTTCCAATGATTCCAATAGAGCGTATGTGTTGTTTTTTTTTTTTTTTTTTGCCTGAACATGAGTTTAATATTTATCTTCTTTACCATTTAACCACCTTGATATGTTCAGTAACCAATGGGTTGACTGGCAATAAGAGGTTCTTAAAATATAATTTGACTCATGAACAGTGTGGGCAAGAGACTGAAAGACTGTTCCAGGCATACATATATAGTATCATAAATAAACCACCTTCTCTTGGTACTACATAATAAGCCTCCTATCCACTGATAGCCAGAAAATCTTTCCTGTAGTACAAGTATTATCCATTTCCATATTTGTTCATAATTTATATACTCTTTGTGACCTAAGTAATATACTTGGTGCTCTGGGATCTAAGTTGAATGCTTTTTCCAAAACTTGTTAAGCCTTATTAGCCTACACATATTMTATAAAAAATGATTTATGCTTTTTAAGCACAGTTTAGATTATTTCTTCATGGTAATTTCCAATGACCCTAAACCCCTGCCTTTAATTATTAAGATCTCACTAAGATCAAATGTTGTCTTCTGAAATGTCTATTGTTACCTCTATCTAAACGTTTGTTCTGTTGATCTGTATCAACAAATATTTGTCCTATACATGAAAGTGTCTACATTCCATCTTTGTTATACTACTTATGTCTGTAATTGCTATTCATGACTACTCTCCTAGATTGTTTTTCTTCCAAGTATCATTTCTCAATTATCTGTGGCTTATGTAATAGAAATGATTAATAAATGACCAACTAGTACATGATAGAGTATCTTTTTAATGTGCTTTGTCAGAGGGAATATTATGTAAATCAAGTTACACATGTATTTGATTTGCAAAAATACTATGTGGAAATTATCATGAATTATTTATTATCTGATGATTCCATGGTCCTGAAGAGTACCAATGTGGAAATTTCTCTTCATTTGAATTGTTTTGAGTATTAAACCTTTCAGGTTGTACTTTGTATGCTGGATCTTTTATCCCTAATTCCTGTATGGTCGAGTTTTATTTATTCATTAAAAATGTATTTATTGAAGATGATGGATTATACATTAGTGGCTGGTATATCCATATATAAATGAAAATAAAATAATAGAAATAGGAGAAGCATATCCTTTTAACCTCAATGGTATGGTAGCATATTTTAAACCTGTACATATTCCTAACATGAAAAAATAAAATATATAGATGAACGTTAGTACATAGAAAGTTGAGCAGTTATGTCTATAAGAAATGTGTCATTGGCAGCAATACATCATTTGGAATTTTCATTACATTATGACTTATAGATAACTCTCAATAGTTCTCTGATGGAAGCTGCCCTGGATGAACTCACTAAATCCTGATGCCMCTGGGGCACTGAACAATATTGTATTCTGCAGTAACTTGGGCTTTACCTCTGCTCAGATAATGAGGTGTGGCTCCAGAAGTAGGAGTCACCTGGTGGGATTGAGTTACACTCACCTATTCCTTTGTAATCCTACCCCTTTGTCCTTTTGGGATACAATATTCCCTGGAAAACCTCCCCCAATGAAATCCTGGGTTCAAGGTGTGTTCCCTCTCTTTCTTGCCTGGACTATGTTGAATACAAGTGGTGAAAACTGTCTTGTTCCAGTTTTTAGAGGGAATGCTTTCAATTTTTCTCCATTTAGAATTATGTTGGCCTGGGGCTTAGTATAGATAGCTTTTACGATGTTGAGATATGTTCCTATTTTCTCTAGTTTTTCTAGTGTTTTGAAAATGAAGGAGTGCTGTATTTTGTCAAGTGCTTTTTCTGCATCTGTTGAGATGATCATATATGGTTCTTATCTTTAAGCCTATTGATATGATGAGTTACATTTATTAATTCCCATATATTGAACCAACCTTAAATCCCTGGTATAAACCCCACTTGATAGTAGTATTTATCTTTTTGATATGTTTTGTATTTGATTTGCCAGAATTTTATTGAAAATTCTTGCATCAATATTCATTAGAGTTATTGGTCTGACATTTTCTTTCTTTGATGTGTCTTCGCCTCGTTTTGGAATAAGGGTGATATTGGCCTTGTTGAATGAATTTGGAAGTTCTCCCTCTTTTTCTATTTCCTGAAATAAATTGAAGAGTATTGATATTAGTTTTTCTTTAAAGGTCTTGTAGAACTCGGCTGTGTATCCATCTGGGCCTGGGCTTTTCTTGGTTGGTAGGCTTCTGATGGTGTCCTCTACTTCAGAGCTTGAAATTGATCTGTTTAAGTTATGTATATCAACCTGATTCAATTTGGGGAAGTGAAATGACTCTAKAAATTTGTCAATGTCTTCTATTTTATCTATTTTATTAGAGAACAAGTTTTCAAAATAATTTCTAATTATCTTCTGTGTTTCTGTAGTGTCTATTATGGTATTTCCTTTTTCATTACGTATGTTAGTAATTTGAGTTTTCTGTCTCTCTCTTTGTTAGCAGGCTAAGTTTCTGTCAATTTTATTTATTTTTTTAAAGAACCAACTTTTTTGTTTATCAATTTTTTAATTGTTTCTTTTGTTTCAACTTTACTTATTTCAACTCTAATTTTAATTATTTCCTGTCTTCTACTGCTTTTGGTGTGGATTTGCACTTCATTATCCAAGGCTTTGAGATGTAATGTTAAATAATTTATTTCTTGACTTTATCTCATTTAAAGGAATGAACTCAAAACAATAAACTCTCCTCTTAGTACTGCCTTCATAGTGTCCCAGACATTTTGATATGTTGTACATGTGTTCTCATTCACCTCTAATAATTTTTTAATCTTGGATGTTCTGCTCATTGTTCTTTACCATCCTTGATGTCTTTTGCAACCCATTGTTCATTCAGTAGCATATTATTTAGTCTCCAGGTGTTGGAATAGCTTTTATTTTTTTAGTTTATCATTGATTTCTAATTTCATTCCATTAAGATCTAGATTTCAGTGTAGTATTTGTATGTTTTTATATTTGCTAAAAGTTGCTTTGTGGCATAATATATGTACTATTTTAGAGAAGGATCCATGTGCTGATGAAAAGAAAGTGTATTCACTCATTGAAGGATAAAATATTCAATATATGTCAGTTAAGTCTAAGTTATTGATTGAATTATTGAGTTATATTGTTTCTTTGTTCAGCTGTTGTTTGGAAGATCTATTCAGTGGTGAAAGAGGTGTATTAAATTCACCCAAAATTGTCATGTTGTGGTCTATTTGACTCTTGAACTTGAGAAGAGTTTGTTTGATGAACATTGTTTGGGGCATATATATTTATTAACGTTATGTGTTGTTGATGATGGTTCCCTTAAGCAGTATGAAATACCCATTTTTAATCTTTGATTAACTTTGGCTTGAAGTCTACTTTATTTGATATGAGGATGGAAATACCTGCTTCCTTTTGTAGCCATGGGAGTGGTATGATTTTTCCCAATTTT